CAAACAAACAAACAAACAAACAAACATAAAAAGTAAAAGTTGTTCTTTAAAAAATAGCAAATAAATGCATGTTTACTCTAGGCAAATTAGAGAAGCCCAGGGTTCACCCCTCACAGTGTCTGCAGGATAGGTGCTGTCAGTGGGGGGAGGGGTATCAGGTTTCAGTGCTGGAGAGTCCTCCGCAGGTGTGCGGGCCAGGGTGCAGGTGAATGATCGTAGGACATGTGGGGCACACGGGAAAAGGAACACTTTGCTTGAGGAAAACAATGACTGTACCTTTGATTTGAATTCAGTCTCTGCAAGTGGGACATCTTTGTGGAGATATAACTTTTTTAAAAACTTAAAAAAGTAATCTATATATTGCTTTTTAAAAACAAAATCAAACACGAGTGGATATACAACTCAAAGTCAATATGCCTCTTACTCAGATTCGGATTTTCTGCTCCCAAGGCCACTGGAATTAGCAGCTTCCTGTGCACCCTTTAATATTTGTACACACACACAGCTCGACATGCTGATGATCTTTTTGAAAACATAAATGGAGGTGTGCAACACACTGTGTGTACCTGCATTCTCCACTTCAAATCAACCTTAGAAGTCATTTGGGCGTCACTCACAGACCCGCCTCCTTTGTTTCCCTACAGTATGTATAGGGTTTCCAGGCTTTTGCTAGATCAGGCCTACATCTCTGCCCACAGGTGGGTGAGAGGCATAGCAGAGGTGTGCAGACTAGAAACTTGGGCTTTGGATGCAAACTGCTTGTGTTCAAACCCTGCCCCTTCTTCACAAGTTGGTGACCAAGGATGGGTGATTTGACCTCTGTATGCCTCAGCTTTCTCACTGTACAGTAGTCACCATCATGATAAATAAGATTATGTCTGCAAAGCACTTAGCAGGTCTGGCACACAGTAAATGCTCAATAAGCGATCACTATTATACTCGGTAGGCTGCCACTGCTGAATGAGTGGCAGTGAAATTGCTGGGTTAAGGGGTCAGAACAAGATGCCATCAACAAGTGGCTATGCAGGAGGCAGTCGAATAGATAGAACTAGAATAAGTTTTCAAAGAAGACCAAAAATAAAGGCATTCATGTACCCCAAGAGGAGTGATTTTTAAAAAGGATGCTGGCGTGGACACACATTCCCAACATACCAAGTCACAAATAACAGCCAGCCTCTGCCGAGTAAATGCCCATCAGTGTCCTATGAGGAGACAGGACCATCACTTCTGTTTTACAAAGAAGGCCACTCAAAGCCACAAGCTCCAGGGCACTGGAGTCAGGTGTCTGCCCTGCTCCTCCCTCTCAGCCCACACCATCCCCAGCTGGACACCAAGCTTGTACCCTGATTGTTAGGCACTCTACAACTGTCCCTCAGTCAAGTCTGGGGGAGAAGACTGAGACTCCAGCTATGGGACACCTCAGACTTTTGTTTAGCTAAACAAGCAACCAAAACAACTCCAAAAAAAAAAGTTTTTTGCAACATGCTGACAAAGAATTCTTTTTTTTTTCTTTTCTTTTCTTTTTTTTTTGGTGTGTAGGAGTCTCACTCTGTTGCCCAGGCTGGAGTGCAGTGGCATGTTCACAACCACCACACCTAGACCTGCTGGGCTCAGGTGATCCTTCCACCTCAGTCTTTCAAGTAGCTGGAACCACGGGTGTGCACTGCCATATCTGGCTAATTTTTTTATTTATTGTAGAGACGAGGGCTCATTAAGTGGCCCAGGCTGGTCTCGAACCCATGGGCTCAGGCAATCCTCTTGTCTCAGCCTCCCAAAGTGCTGGGGTTACAGGCATGAGCCACAGTGCCCGGCAGGGGGAGAACTTGAATCATGCTTGGCCTTGTATTAACAAGGAATATGGGGAAAGATCTTTGTTTCTGTCTATTGCTAGGTACCCTGAAAATTCAGTGGTTTTTTTTTTTTTTTTTGGTGTTTTTTTTGTTTTGTTTTTGAGTTGGAGTCTCACGCTGTCACCCAGACTGGAGTGCAGTAGCACGCTCCCAGCCACCACAGCCTCGACCTGCTGAGCTCCAGCGATCCTTCCGCCTCAGCCTTCCAAGTAGCTGGAACTACAGGCATGCGCTACCATGGCTGGCTAATTTTTTGATTTTATTGTAGAGATGAGGTCTTGCCTGCCCAGGCGGGTCTCGAACCCACGGGCTCAGGCAATCCATTCACCTCAGCCTCCCAAAGGCGCGGGATTACAGGCTGAGCCACCAAGCCCGGCTTTGTTTTGTTTTTTAAGTCAGAGTCTCACTCTGTCACCCAGGCTGGAGTATAGTGGCACGATCACAGCTACCACAGTCTCGACCTCCTGGGTTCAGGTGATACTTCCACCTCAACCTTCCAAGTAGTTGGAGCTACAGGTGCATCACCACACCTGGCTAATTATTTTATTTATTGTATTATACTCGGTAGGTCTCACTAAGTTGCCCAGCCTGGTCTCAAACCCCTGGGCTCGGGCAATCCTCTTGCCTCCACCTCCCAAAGTGCTGGGATTACAGGCGTGAACCACTGAACCCATTGAAAATTCTGTCTTGTGATCAAAAGTCTGACCCAGTTGGACAGACAGACAGGAAGTCAAGCCAGATGGAAACAATGCCCCTCAGGCCTGGGCTGGAGGGGTGCAGAGGACAGGCCCCGGGCTGGGTAGCACATTTAGTGCTAGCTGGCCTCTTTTCAAAGCCCTAAACGGAGGCTCCGTTTAACATGGGCTGTTGACAGAAGTCCCAGTGTGGGTTTTGTGAAAAACAATTTGGACAGACTATTGAATGTCTGAGACTCTGAGTCTATTGCCACATGAGTCCGCTGCCTTGAAGTTGCACCTAGTTTTAAGGCCAATGGTCAAGCTATTTCAGACACAGGAGAAAATAGAAAAGAAGACGTGGCTGAAAACCTTTGGGCAGGCATGGATATGCATGATAAAACAAGAACAGCCTGATGTTGGCACCTAGGCTGTAGGTCTATGGGTGTTTACTGAACCTTCTGTTCAAAGCTGCTGTATGTTTGAAACTTTTCACCATAAAACACTGAGGAGTATTTTTTTGGATAGTCCCAGACATCATAGCTCCAGGTAAGTAGACAGGAAAAGCCTTCTTTAAATCACAGTGTTTCCCAATTGAACTCTGGGACCCAAATTAGAAAATGGGTTGTACCAAGGCCTATGATTTGGATACTGTGGTCAGGTCCAAGTAAATGTTTTATCAAGTCCTATCCAGGAACTAGGGCCCGCCCCAAACACATAGCTGCATCCCCTCCCAGCTCCCGCTTTGAGTCCAGGATCACTTGCCCTTAGCTTTCCCGTTCCCCAGGCACCCACTGCTTGTTCGACCCCTAGCCTGCTGCCCCTGGCCACCCTGCTGACTCCAGCCATCTCCCATGCAGAATGTTCCTCAAGCGACTGTCCTCTGTACCCTACTCAGCCGAGGACCTTCCCGAGGAGGGGCTGGGGCCTAGGAGCTAAGCTGTGCTGACAAGGAGAGAGAGAGTTGGGAAGGGGGATGTAGAAGAGTCCCCCCATCTCCTGATGGGGGACCAGGATGGGCCTCTGGTGTTCCAGAGACTGAGGTAATTCAGGGCAAAGGGATGGTCTTCTTACCTACACAGTTCCGATCACAGAGGAGTGAAGTAACTTATAGACATTCTTCCCATGAAATATTACATGAGCTTTTTGAAAAACTCTATTTACAATATGATTTTTTTCAAAATTAAAAAGTCATTAAGTCACTTATTCTGGATCCAGATTGAAAAAGTGAATATGAAACATGATCTCATTTAGTGAACGTGCAGAGGAAAAAAGCCTGGCAGGAAACACACTAACGTAGTAATGGCAGTGCTGGTGGTTTTGGTGGTGGGTTGTGGGTTATTTAAATTTTCCTTTTTGTATTTTCCTGTTTTCCAAGTTTCTGCAAGTGAATATATAACTTACATCAGAAAATAATAAATGCACTTTTTTACACTGGGAAATTGCTCTGTTAAGGTAGTAGTTCTATCCTTGAAGCAAATTTCATGGGCTAAGTGGGGTTCAGTAGGTGTCTGGGGATAAGATACCGTTGGTTGAGGGTGAGAAACGTCATGAGTCTACTGTCAGGGGGAAGTGAGCCGCCCAAAGCTTATGCTGTGGCCCTTGGTCCCTTCCCAGGTAGGTCGGCCTGTTGGCCTTGGGTAGTGTGGGAAGGTTCACCCCTTCTAGGCCAGTAAAAGGAGGAGTCAGACAAGAATGAACAGAAATGGAAACACGCTAATTAAATAAGGGTTTCTCAGAGCCTCAAGTAAGAGAACCAGAAAGCTCCAGGCCAAGACCCCTTCCCAGGAGAACAACTCACTAGGCCGTGGTCGAACCTCATACTCTTGACTTATTTTTTTCACCACTATTTTTAACAGATTTGCCAAGACCATGCATATTGTTTGTAGAAAACTTGCAAACAGGGAAACCACAAAGGAAAAAACCACACACATATTCTGTTGCCCAAGTGCAACCAATGTTACTATGGGTGTACAGATTCCCAGTTCTTTCTCTTTTACTCAAAATCAGGATTATATTGTAAATAATATTTTAGACACTCTCCCCATCTATTTATTTTGAAAATTTTCAAACCTATAGAAGTGTTGCAAGTAATACAAGTCTTTACTTAGACTCAATGGTTGTTAACATGTTACCTCCCTCACTCCCTCAGTCTCTCTCTAGAAATAATTTCCTGGATTTCACCAGCTGTTAACATTTTCACTTTCTCCTTGTCTCTAGAAACAGTCTCCTGGACCTCTTCAAAGGGAGTTGTAGCCAGGCGTAGTGGCTCACACCTGTAACCCCAGTACTTTGGGAGGCGGAGGGGAGAGGATTGCCTGAACCCAGGGGTTCAAGAACAGCCAGGGCAACTTGGCGAAACCTGTCTCTACAGTAAGCCAAAAAATTAGCCAAGTGTGGTGATGTGCCTGTGGTTCTAGCTACTTAGAAGGCTGAAGCGGAAGGATTGCCTGAGCCTAGCAGATCGAGGTTGCAGTGGCCATGAGTGCCACTGCACTCCAGCCTGGGCAACAGAGAGACTCCAACTCTAAAAAAAAAAAAAGAAAGTTGTAGACCTCATGACACTTCCCTGCACATTATTCAGCTGCATCTCCTGAGAGCAAGTCATTAGGGTCAGAACAAGAAACCTCCATGTGAGGAATTGCTGAACATTCCTGGTAAGTCTTTAGTCAGGGGCAACGGCACGTGTCCCTTCCTTCACTGTCCCTCATGAGAACATATTCCTCTCCTGATAAATAGGTGTGCTTGCCTCCAGGAGATACTGAGAAATACCCTGGGGGCCCATCATGACACTGGAAGCATATAAACAGCAGGTAAACACTGGCATGAGATGGAAAGCAGAGGAGATACAGTGCCACCTAGTGGTGATATTTAGAATTTTCCCAAGCATGAACTTGGATTACCAGGGTGAGGACACATCACCACTGTTTTACCCACCATTTTATTGAGCAATGACACCCTGTGCCTAGCATTTTACATCAATATCCCTCTTAATACCTACAAGCCCTAAAAACAGGGTATCATTAAAACGTCCAGGATACTGCCTGGCACATCATAGTTGCTATATATATATATATGATGTGCCAGGCGGTATTCTGGACGTTTTAATGCTACCTTATTTTTAGGGCTTGTAGGTATTAAGTGGGATAGTGCTGTATATATATTTGAGTTGGAGTCGTACTGTTGCCCAGACTGGAATGTAGTGGTACTCTCACGGCCACCACAGCCTCAGCCTTCTAAGTAGCTGGAACCACAGGTGCATACCACCATGCCTGGTTAATTGTTTTGATTTATTGTAGAGACGAAGTCTTGCCAAGTTGTTCAGGCTTGTCTCGAACTCCTGGACTCAGGCAATCCTCTTGACTCTGCCTCCCAAAGTGCTGGGATAAGAGCTATATTTTTTTAAAGAATGAGGAAACTGAGTCTCTGAGAGGTTAAGTAGCCCACCCCAGGTCTCACTGTAAGTGGCTGAGTCAGAATCAAGCCCAGGTCTGTTTGGCTCCAGCCCGGTATATCTCAACCACTCTACTTCATTCCTCCCCAAGAAAAGAGTCTAATCAGGGAGGGAGAAACAGTCGTGAAGGGGCAACAGTGACTGAAGAGACCACAGAATCTCAGAAGTCATGTGACATAAGGACAATGGGGCCCTGGAAGGAAAAGGACTTGCCAAAGTCATCTAGCTCTGTAATGACGGGCCTAGGGTAAGGATCCAGGGCTCCACTGATGACCCCATTCCACTGAAACTGTGTGATAAGATCACGGAAGGAATCATCAACAAGGATTTGCAAATCCCCAGAAATCTTGTGAGATGGATGAAAAGAGACACCTGTTTCTCCAGGACAGCCTGAACATAGTTCATGATGCTTCTTTAGCAGCAAGGAAAAAAAGCAGACAGACCTCAAGAAGAAGGGTGGACAGAGAGAGGGGAAGAGGAGAAATGCACACACAGCCACTTATCTGGATGCCGTATCAAAGAAAGGGTCGCTCAGATCAGGGCTTGGCAGGCATTTCTGCAAAGGGCCAGAGTGCAAATACTCTAGACTTTCCAGGGTACATGGTCTCTGCTGCAGCCATTCAATGCTGCCATGGCAGCACGCAGCAGCCAGAGATAACCCAGAGACAATGGGCAGGGGTGTGTTCAAATAAAACCTTATTTATAAATCCAGATGGGGGCCAGAGGTGGCCCATGGGCTTTAGTGATGGTGTCTAATAAACCAAACATGCTTTTACAAAAAGGAGTTGAGAAAGTAAAAAGAAAAGATGGCCTTGACAGGAAGAAAACACCAACTAGAAGTCTTTCTTTTCCTCCAGGTGGAATTACTTACTCTTTCCTACCAATCCGAATGTGAATTGGAGTGGGGCTCTTGGGCTGTATAGCCTGGTAGAATCCTTCACGTAGGGGAGAATTTCAAGGCTGAAAGGATCTCACCATGAAACAAACCCCACTGCCCCTCACTCCAGAGAAGCCCCGGATGCAGGAGGGGACACAGACATAGAACTCTCACCTCTCCTGGAGCAGGCGCTCACACCTTTTCTCCAGGGGCAGTGCCTGGGGGAAGGCCTTGTTGTCTGCCAAGGCCCTTTGAGGAATGCTGCGATTTCTTGAGATATTTTTCAGGAGTGGGTAGTCCTCAAAATTAAAACAAAAAACAGAATTTTGGATTCTGGCATCGTCATCGGTAGGTTCCGTTTCATGTGAATGGCCTCCTGCAACAAAACAAAAGCATGTGTTCTGTGTAACAGCTGCTTCTTCATGGGCTCTGCAGTCCAGTGGGTGGTGGGCACTGTTCTCTGCTATGAAGGCCGGGTCACCTGGGCTGAGCCACGAGGGGCTTGCTGGGCCGGAGGAGCAGGAGTCCTTGCCGGCATTTTATCAAAGGAGGCGGGTGAGGACTGTGGTGGGGAGTGGAAAAGTGGGGAGGGGACTGGTGGGGTCACTCTATGCTTTGTGAGAGGACTGAGAAGGTCAGGGAAATGGTGAGGAGGCCACAGGCCTGGGTGTCAGCCCCCATGGTCTCCTTCCGTACCTTGGAGCAGGAAACACGGACGGTGTAAAGGTACGACAAACACCGGCCTCCAGGGGGCCCCTGGGTGGAAGGGGCTGGGGGCAGCAAAGGCACAGATGGTTTTCACCTTGGCCACATCCATGAGACGCATGGAGCCATTCTTGAAAAAGATGAGCACCTAGGAGGCAGAGACAGTGAGTGGGGACTTCTGCTGACTCTGTCCCTCACAGGAAGGTCAAGCGTAGCTTAGTGGTCACTCAGGAAGGAGTTAAATGAAGCGGCTGAACAGAAAACATGGATACAGAGAGCACTGATCCGGCTCTGGGCACTCAGATTCCTGGTCCGCCCAGGGCTGGCAGGGAACTGCAGACACAGGTGCAGACTCCTCCTGCGGCTCTCAGCAGAAAGGCCCTCCGCCCTGTGCTGTGTGCTCCAGGGCGTGCTAGGAAGTCAGTTCTCCAAGTCAGGATCAGCCCGGTGCCTCCCTGTCCTCAGCCACAGTCGCAGGCAGCCCATACTGGGAAGCCATCTCCTGACCAACGTCTCTCCACCCTTTCCTGAATACGCTGCTCCCGTGCTCCAGCCTCTATTTCAAGCCCCTTCACACACAAGGCCATGTTCATACCTTCTGTCCAGTGTTCAGGGCCCTCCACAGTCTGGCCTGCCAGTCCCCCTCCCAGCCTCCTACCTCTCCGTCCACAGCAATCTGATGCTGCAGCTACTTGAACCACCTGTAGTGCTTGGGATGCATGCTGCTCTCTTGCTTCTGTGGTACTGCCCCCTTGACTGGCTCAGCTCAGCCATCACTCCTCCAGAAAGCATCCCGTGCTTCCCTGCCCCGACTTCTGAGGTTGGGTTAGATGACCTGTCTGTCCCATGCATCCTTTGCAAAATCTTATCATAGCCTTTCTCATGTTCTGGAACCGCCGCTTGGTGGCTTGCCTGTCTTCCCAAATGAACTGTGAGCTCCATGAAGGCAGAAACTTTTTCTTTCACATCTGTAAACCCCAAAGCTAGTCCAGTGCCTAGCACACAGTGGGCCTTCAGCACATATTTTTTGAAGAAAAGATGAACACTGTCCCAGATGAGAAATGAGAGGCACGGGGAACCTACCATGCCAGGTAAGGCTGGCAGCGGGCACACGGCACAGACGGCTTCATCCAGGTGCTTTACGGGCCTATGAGACAGGAGGCACAAGACATTTCCTACTTTGAGAGTTCTAAAATTTCACTGTCCTCTTCTAGGCATATATCCTGGAGAAACTCAGGGAAACCAGGAGTATGTGAAGAGACTGTTACAGTAGCAAGAAATTAGCAACAATCCAAAGATCTATTAGTAGGGGGATGCTTAAATAATTGTGACTAGTATACAATGAAATATAATACAGCAATGAAAATAAAAGAACTGGAGATACATGGGTCAACATGTTAAGCTCTCGTGAACAATGCAGTTACAGAATAAGCAGCATTAAAAACAAGTTTAGAATTCATGGAATATGGGTGCATTGATAAGTTTCTTAAATATGCACTGCTAAATAATATACTGTTATTTAGTCATACAAATGTGGTTACTTCTTAAAGGAAAGCAAAGGAATGATGAATTGAGGCAAACCATGTAGTACATTGAAAAACAACTGGCCATATTTGGCAAAAGTTGGGGTCTACTTTTCCCCTGCTTGAATGTGGGTGTGGCCACGGGATGTGCTTTGTCCCCTGGAATGTCAGCAAATATAGCATGAGCAGAGGCTTGGAAGGCATCTATACATTGGGGCTGTCCTCTCATGCTGCTGGGAATCCTTATGCTCCCGTATAAGGAAGCCTGAGCTGGTCTGCAGGAGGGGCCATGAGAAGAACCAAGCTGCCCTGGCCAGTGACCTCCCAGGTGTGTGAGTGAGGCCATCTTACATGCCCAGCAACTAGGTGAGCTACAAGCTGCCTGCAGGCGTATGTAAGAGCCAAGGTGAGACCAGTAGAACTGACCGAGTCTAGCTCAAATTGCTGACATATAGAATCAGTGGCTAAACAATGACTGCTTTCTTAAGCCATTAAGCTTTGGGGTAGTTTGTTATTTGGTAACAGATAATTAATAAGGTGGTGACCTTTGGGGAGGAGCATGAAGGATGTGATGAGAAAAAGGCACACAGGGAGCCCCAATGATACTGGAGGTGATCTGTTTCTAGTGGGTACAGGGGAGAGAATCTCATTATTCTTCATGCTACATACATTCCACATGCATTCCACATACTGCACACACACATTATGTAGATTCCATTGCACGTGCAACATATTTTAAAATATTGAAAAGAGAGAGACCTTGGGGGAACTGATGAGAGGCAGAATTTTGGCAGAAATGAACCTCTTCCTGGTCATGTGGCATATACAAGAAGTCTTCATCTATTTTCTGTTGCTTATAACATAATACCAGAAACTGGGTAATCTATAATTTTCTTAACTTTATTTCTTACAGTTCTGGAGGCTGAGAAGCCCCAGGTCAAGGGGCTGAATCTGGTGAGAGCCTGCTTGCTGGTGGGAACTCTCTGCGGAGTCCTGACGTGGCACAAGATACATCATGGAAGGGAGCTGAGGTGCCACATGCTAGCTCAAGTCTCTCTTCTTATAAAACCACCAGCCCACGTCTAGGATAACTCATTAATCTACGAATCCATGAATGGATCAGTCCATTCAAGAGGGCAGAGCCTTCATGATTCAATTGCCATTTTTTTTCCAGAGGTGGGGTCTTGTTCTGTGCCCAGGCAGGGATACAGTGGCACAATCAAAGTTCACTGTAACATTAAACTCCTCGACTCAAGCAATCGTCCTGTCTCAGCCTCCTGAGTAGCTAGGACTATAGATGTACAACACTACACCCAGTTAATTTTTCTTTTTTCTTTTTTTTTTGGTAGAGACAGGATCTTGCTGTGTTCTATGCTGCCCTGGCTGGTCTTGACCCCCTGGCTTCAAGTGAGCCTCCCTCCTTGGCCTCCAAAGTGCTGGGAGTACAGGTGTGAGCCACCATGCCTAACTCCCAATCACCTCTTAATGGCCCCATCTCAAAATTCTGCCACAAATTCTGCCTCAAAATTCTGAGGATGAAGCTTCTATGTGAGTTTTGGAAAGGACATTCAAACCACAGCAAATATCATTTATACCATCATACAATTTTGTCAGAAAAATTTGTCATATACATATATATAGGTGATCTTGAGAAGTTTACCAGAGAGTGATGGTAGTGGGGAAAGTGGACTCTAGTCAGAGAGGCTATTTTTTGTTTTTTGTTTATTTTTTGAATCGGGGTCTCACTCTGTCGCCCAAGCTGGAGAACAGTGGTATAATCATAGCTCACCACAACCTCAACCTGCTGGGCTCTTCCCAGTCTCCTGAGTAGCTGAGACTACAAGCATGTGCCACCAGACTTGGCTAATTTCTTTATTTTTGTAGAGATAAGGTCTTGCTATGTTGTCCAGGCAAGTCTCGAACTCCTGGGCTCAAGCAGTTTTCCCACCTTGGCCTTCCAAGGTGCTGGGATTAGAGACGTGAGCCACTGCGCCCAGCCAGGCTGTCAGATTTTACTGTTCAATAGCAACATCTGTCTGGCAGGTTATTTAACCCGTCCTGCCCCCAAGCCACTGACCTCTCAACAAGCACAGTGACGGTGGGTCCTTGGGTCCCTCTGGCTTCCACCAGATGGAGGGAAGCGTCTGTGCACAGCACCACACATTTCATCTGGGATTTCACTGGACCCTCAGGATACATATTCTGTCCTTCGTGGACCAGGAAGTATTTTAGGAAGTGAATACTTTGGCAGAAACATCCCTCAGGAAGAGCAATGACCCCAAGGGGGAATCCTGGAGAAAGCAATCACACAAGTAGGTCAGAAAAGGGGGTGGGGCACTCATGGGCACAGGGTCTGTGACCAGCAGGCCGATGAGGGGCCAGCAGGCTGTGAGGGCAAAATCAAGCCACAAGTGCCCTCTGAGAGCGAAACTAGTAAGCCCAGTGCCCAGTGGGAGAGAAGAGGCCCCTTGAGGGAAACTCTTCTGGGTGTGAGAAGGTGCTGGGGACCAAACCCACGAAGGAAGGCAGAGTCAACACTGGAGCAGAAGGAAGTGACAAGCGTGCCAGGGACAGAGCTACAGCCAACCATGGGCTGCAAAGGTAGACAGAGGGGAGTGGCTTCAGAAAAAGGGGTGTGTGTGTATGTGTAGACAAACAAGGATTTATCAATATCCATAAAAATGAAAACAAGCTATTAGTCAAGGGATTGTGAAATTAACATCATTCTTCTTTCCTTGAAATATCTTTTGCTTCTATAATAATGCTGTTGGTTCAATAATAAAATTCAGGAAGGCCTTTATTGATAATTATTTTGGCACCGTGTGGGGAAAATGTCCTCCAATTTGAGGCAGGGCATGGTGGCTCTTTCCTGTAATCCCAGCACTTTGGGAGGCAGAGGTAAGAGGATTGCCTGAGCCCACGGGTTCAAGACTAGCCTGGGCAACATGGCAAGCCCTTGTTTTTACAATAAACTGAAAAATTAGCTGCAGTGGCATGCGCCTGTGGTTCTGGCTACTTGGAAGGTAGAGGCAGAAAGATCATCTGAATCCAGCAGGTTGAAGCTGTGGTGGCCGAGAGCATGCCACTGCACTCCATCCTGAATGACAGAGTGAGAGAAAGAAAGAAAGAGGGAAGGGAAGGAAAAGAAGAAGGGGAAGGGAGGAAAAGGAGGAAAGAGAAGAAAGGGAGAAAAGGGAGGGAGGAAGGAAGGAAGGAAGAAGATAACCTCCGATTTGAAACCCCCACTGAACCCTTCAGATAGAGATAGCCCAAGTGAGGAAGGCATGTCACCAGGTTGGCAGACGCCTCCCTGAGAACACCAGCTCCCCTGTTTGATCACGGGCTTGCCAACAAACAGGGCACTATCCCTGCTTCTTCTCACCCACCAGGAGGGCCGTCCAGTGAAGGCGGCTACCTCCACTCTCTAGAGAAACACATCTCCAACTGCACAATGTCTAGCCATCAATTGCCTTTTTAAAAGTTTGGTAGAGTGAGACACTTCCCTAGAGACTGGTCAATTTAGGGTAAAGTAATACCATTGATTTCTGTACTTACAAAGCTGGACCCAGGACCCAAGTGCCACGCCCCTAGAATAGTTGCTGGGCTCGCCTTGACCACTTTATAGGTCTCTCAGCTCCAATACCAATAGAGTTCCTGCCAGCTGGGGAGGAGGTATAGCAGCAGGAAAGTAGATCCACTTGTTTGTAGAGTGTAGGGTTGGGAGGAGGAGGGCTGAGCCCCTAATCTCCTGCACACTCTTCATGGGAACATATTAATGAAGGCAGTGGTCATACTTCTAGGACCAGGTTTATTGAACGTCAGGCACAGAACTGGTACTCAGTAAACACATGGGCAATGGACTGTGTTAGCAATATTAAACTCAATAAGTGTTTGATGACTGAACAAATGTAGGGATAGCAGGACCAGCTCCCCAAGATGACTAGGCAGAGAGGCAGAGAGGCAAGGAAGCTCACCTTCGGTCAGGTCCCACAGCGTGAGCACACCATCCCCGCAGGCCAGCACGAGGTAGGCAGAAGAGCAGCTGAGCTGAGAGACTGTAATGGGTGCAGCACAGGGCCACACGCTCTCGGGGTCTAGGGGGAAGGACACCACTCACCAGGCTCCCTGCCCAGACCCTGCACCTACCCAACACCTCCCCTGGACAGTCCGACACCCAGACTGGTCCACCTGCTCAGGGCATCAGCATGGCAGCATCTCTCCCTCTTCTCGCCATGAATGCCATTCTCGTTCCTCAGGATAATAATAAGGCACGCTGTTCTTATTCTACAGCTAATGTTTAACCAGGACTTCCCAGGTGCCAGACACTGTGCCAGGTACTTTACAGGTGTCATCTCATTTAATTCTCACAAATAGGTCTTACTAGTCCCCTCCCCCCCATTTTACAGGTGACGAGAATGGAACTAAAAAGTAAGTGACTCGCTCCAAGCCACACAGTATAGAAGTAGAGATTAGAAGCCAGGTTGCCTAGGAGACGGATGGAAGGGAAGAAATTCTCTTTGTGAATGTCTTAACGTAACTTTTGAAGCACAATATTAAAGTATAACAGGTATCCAGCTCAAGGAATGATCACAACAGGAACTTGCTGAACTGCCTCCATGGATTTATAGAAGAAAAATTGCTCCTACTTCCTTAATGCCCTTCCATTTCCAAGAGCTTCCACATGCAGGAATGCTCTGGATTTTGCTTTTCTTACCAAAGGTATATAGCTGCCAGCAGTGGTGCAATCATTAGCTCTGTGTTTCCCATGGGAAAGCAAGGGATAGGGCGTGAAGTGGCTGACCCGGGACTACGAGGTCTGCAGACGGCTGGGCTGGGACTGGCACTGGCCTTCTGATGCCAAGTCCACTCTCTTTTGACCTCAGCTGCTTAAGGAGCCCTGTGGGCCTGACTCCGGGCTTTGTCCCTATTGTCCTGTTGTCTTTAAGAAACAGAACTGTTCAGAGACAGACACTACAGCCACTAAGCCTCCCATTTCTGCCTGCGCAGCTCAGATCCCCTAAAGTGATATTGTTGAGTTAGTCATATGCTCTCAGCTAAGCCAGAGAAAGACATGTTCCGAGAGCCCTGAGCTTAGGCAACTCCCATCTGGGCAGCGTAGTACCAACTTTATCCTTCAGAGAGCGGTTCAGTGAATAGAGGAAGAAATTGTGGCTTCTGGTCCAGTGTATGCCGAGGACACAGGCTACTCCTGGGAAAGAAGAGAGGAAAGGGGTGTCACCTAGAAGTTTGGGTGGACTCTGATTTGTAAGAAGCAGTCTGCCCAAGAGGAAGTGGGTTTGCAGCCTTAAATGGTTTGTCCTAATGGGCAACACCAGACCAAGGGGGAGGGGCTGAGCACCCCCATGAGGGCTGCTCTTAGGGCCCATGTGGCCTCCTGGGTGGGGAAGACAGTCACAACTGCCCCTTGGCTGCTTCCACATGTTCTAGAAAGATCGTGTCCACTTGGCTGTCAGTGTCCCAAGTAGCATCTTCTACAAGATGAAGTCCTACCCAGAAGCAGCCTGGCAGATGTGTGCTCAGACCCTCCTTTGGGGCAGCCACTCCCTGAAGGCAGTGCCAGCCTCTGTGACCCGATAGCACAGATGTGCTCAGGGGCCACAGACCCAAGCAGAAGCTATAGCTTGCAGCCCAATTCCCCCCTTCATTCCCTCCTACCGTGCAAGGTTTGTCATGCAGAAGTCTCTAGGAAGGCTTGATGAGGGATTGCCCCAAGGTGACCCCTTGCCAGGACAACCACCTTCTTCATGTTCATTTACCTGGGGGGCTCTTGATTTCCGTTGGCATTGCAATTACACAGCTGGGAAGGAGGAAATGGAAGGTGGCCACACTGGGCAAGAAAGAGACATGAGTCAGAGCCATGCAGGCTTCTCAGCAAGGAAAGACGCCAGCAGAGTCTTGCTACTAAGACTAGAATCAGATAGTTAGTATGGACCTTCCTAGGCATACGCTACATTCTAGGTGCTGGTCCTGCTGGGACATGCAGACCTTGGATGTTGTGTCAGATGGTCACTCCCAGGACAACATGGTACAGGGCAGAGCTCCTGCAGGAGAGGTTTCCCTCTTGGAAAGCCACTTCTGTTTTGAGAGGATCCCTTAAAAAGCAGACTTGGGTGATCTACATAAATGCTTTCTTACCCCAGGGACAATATAGTGGTGTGCTGATATACTGGGTTTTTAAAAAAAGCCCTGGTTTGTAGGGTCCACAGATTTTCATGGTGTGAGTACTCCCACAATGGACAATAACAGCTTACACAATCCCTATATCTCATCGGGCAGTGGACGCCGGTTCCAGCCCACCAGTGAAGCTGCAGACCTTGTGGTCCAGTCAGTACTAGGTAGTTGCTGCGATGGCTTAGTTTTAGGACTTGGTGTCCCGAAGTGAGAAAATTCAAGGTCCACTTGACAGCAAGATGAGAGGTTTCACTTCCCATGTGAAAACAGGAACATTCCTGAGATACATAGCTGCTGTCAGGAGAGCTGGTTCCTAAACCAGCTCTACCATGGACTCTTCAAAGCCTTGGGCTTTTTACAATCACAACATGGAGTTAATGAGGCCTAACTGCTAACAGAGATTAGAAAGTAATGTATTATAACAATGATTCACCTGTACTACATGACATTTAGAAAGGCAGGAAGGAAATGAAGAAAAATCTTAATAGTGGTAGAACTTTTATTTCTGTGTATAGACAACCAGGAAAAAAATCTTTAAAAGAGATGTTATACATAAAACTGTAAAATAAATTCTATTGCTCTCTCTCTCTCTCTCTCTCTCTTTTTTTTTGAGTTAGTCTCACTCTGCCACCCAAGCTGGAGTGCAGTGACATGCTCACGGCCACTGCAGCCTCGACCTATTGGACTCTAGCAATCCTCTCACCTTGGCCTCCCAAAGTGCTGGGATTACAGGCATGAGCCACCTCGCCTGTCCAACATAAAACTGTAAAATCAATTCCATTTCTCATTTCCATAGACATACATTCCTTTTTTTAAAATCCATGTTATCAATCTTTGTTCTAACTACAAGGGGGACCCCCAAAAACCTGGAATTTATTTATTTCCCATTGTGTATTTATTCTTACATGTCTAAACTTCAAGCTCCTTCAAAATATTCTCCATTTGATACAATACACCTATTGAGATGCTTTTCCACTGCTCAAAACAATTTTTGAACTTATCAAGCTGGATGCCTTTTAGTGCTTCTGCTGTTTTTTGTTTCACCTCTTCCACATCGGTAAAACGTTTCCCTTCGTGGACTTTTTTCATCCAGGGAAACAAAAACAATCACTTGGGATGAGATTAGGTGAATAGGGAAGGTGAGACACGGGGGCCATGCTCTTTTTGGTCAAAAACTGCTGAACACTCAACATGGTGTAGGCAAGGGCACTCGTAAGTCACCCATCACGAAATGGGCACACGAAATTCACTGAAATGCAACACAGTCTCTCACAACAACGCAGCTGGTACACTGATACCAATGGGTTCCTAGAGCACTTACCTAGTGGGAGAAACCTGTACTCCAAAGGACTTGCCCTCCAAAAGATAATTCCAGTTTTTTGCCCCCCCCATAATTAATCTCCATACAGTATGTTTAAGGTTTTCTGAAAATTCCCCCAAACTCGAAAGAGTTTTTAGATCTGGGATTAATTCAAGTCCTTGGGTTGATTCCTCCATGGGCCAAGAGAGCAGGAGCTCTGGGGCTTCCCTGGCTCCCAAGCATCAGGACTCACCTGAGCGGCTCCTCCTCCCACTCTCTGTCCAAGTACTTCTTGTAAGAAGCTTTGAAGATCGCCATTTGCTGCTCCCACTGACTGTCCTTGATGAAGTGATGCTGCCCAGAGCCCAGCCCGCAACAGTCCTCTATCTTTGCAAAGACTTCCAGGGGGCTTTTAAATGTGGTGCCTAGGTTGAAAATAGTCTAGACTCAATCAGGAGATCTGACTTTTCCTTTCCTGATTTCTCCTGCTTTCTCCATGCTTTCTGGTGTTCTTGCAGAATCCCTCATCCTCAGAAAACCCTTCTTGCTCTGCAACTGGGTCGTGAGACCAGGCATTCAGTCTTCTCTTGGCCTTTCCCCACCCGCTGGGGCTCAGGAGCCCAGGTGGACAGCAGTGGCTCTCCCTCCTTCTTCCTCTACATCTCCACCTCAGCATCACTCTCTCTGCTCTGGATCACAGAATCTCTGCAAAGGTGGCCAGGGAAATGTTCACAATGCCACTGTCGTCATCTCCCCAGCTACGGAAGGCCCCAGCCCCCCAGTTACTCTCACTTTTTAGCCATTGTTGAAGATCCACATAATTAGGCAGTCTCAGTCTCTTTCTAGGTTGTTTACCCAATTACCTTCCTTTAAAAAAAAAAATCTCTGGCCAGTCACAGTGACTCAAACCTGTAATCCCAGCATTTTGGGAGGCCGAGGCAAGAGGATTGCCTGAGCTCAGAGGTTTGAGATCAGCCTGGGCAACTTGGCGAGACTGCATCTCTACAATAAATAAAAAAATTAGCCAGGCATGGTGGCATGCACCTGTAGTTCCAGCTACTTGGAAGGCTGAGGCGGAAGGATCGCCTTAGCCAAGCAGGTCAAGACTGTGGTGGCTGTGAGTGTGCCCCTGCACTCCAGCCTGAGTGACAGAGTGAGATTCCAACTAAAAAAAAAAAATCTCCTTTCTCTGTCAATCATTTTTTCCTATTACTCCCCTTCTCTAATCTTTAATTTCCTTCTTTTTTGTCTGTTCCTAAATCCGCAGTAAGACTGGGTGACTTATTTTCTGGGTTCACACCCTGAGTTTCAGAATTCCATTCATTTTGGAAGGTGCCTGGTTTCTCAAGCTGCCCAGGAAGTCCCGCAGTGCCCTGGCTGCTTCCCCAGAGACAACAATTGTCATCAGTTTCTTGCATGGCTATCTAGAGGGAGACACCTTTTGTAAACAAATGGTGTCATATTACACACTAGTCATTTTCAAGGGGTGGTGGCAGATCAGCAGTGTCAGAGTCACCTGGGAACCTGTTAGAAATGCAGATTCTCAGACCTCCCTCAAACCTACTGGGACAGAAACTGTAGTAGAGCTCAGCAATCTGAGTTGTTATTGTTGTTTTTGAGATGGATCTCACTATGTTGCCCAGGCTGGTCTCAAAGCCCTGGGCTCAAGTGATCCTCTGTAGCTGGGATTATTGGCCAACAGCCTGGGTCTTATTGAGTCCTCCAAATGCGTCTGATGCAGCTAAGGTTTGAGTATTGCTGTTATACACACTATATCCCTTGTATTTTCACTTAAAATATGTTGAAATCACTTCATGTTAGTACTGTAAATTCTTATCATTGTTGCTTACTTTTAATTATTAAACTTTTTCTTTTCTTTCTTTTTTTTTTTGAGTTGGAGTCTCACTCTGTCGTCTAGACTGGAGTGCAGTGGCCACTCCCGGCTACCGCAGCCTCGACCTGCTGGGCTCCGGCGATCCTTCCGCCTCAGCCTTCCAAGTAGCCGGTATTACAGGCATGTGCTACCACGCCCGGCTGAATTTTTGATTTGTTGTAGAGATGAGGTCTCGCTGCTCAGGCAGGTCTCGAACCCATGGGCTCAGGCAATCCACTCACCTCAGCCTCCCAAAGGCGCGGGATTACAGGCTGAGCCACCTAGCCCGGCTGAAAATATATATCTTAATAGATTATTATAAAGCAAACTTCTTGTATGATCTACTCAAGTCAAGAGACAGAATATCACCAGCTCCCTAGAAGCTTCCCAGGGCCCCTTTCCAATCAAACTCCCTGGGAAGAGTGGCAACCATGCTCCTGACTTTTATGGTAGTCACTTAGTTGCATTTAGTTATGCCTTCACCATCTAAACATGCATCCTCTATACTATAGTTTCATATCACCTGGTACTGAACTGTACATAAGGGTATCCATACAGTATTAACTCTATGGCTGCCCTCTTTTGCTCAATAGTGCTTGTGAGATTTACCCATTTTGTTGTGTGTAGCTGTTGTTAGTCCATTTTCACTGCTGTATAGTAGTCCATTAATGAATATAATACACTGTATTTGCTCTATTGTTGATGGACATTTGGTTGTTTCACTTTGGGGTTATTACAAATCATGTCACTATTACCATTCTTGTACATGTCTCCTGGTACACATTTGCTTGCAATTCTACAGATACATATCTAGATGGAGGGTAGCCAGTGCAGGCTGGTTTGCTTAAGAGTTTCCTAGTTTCAGCACTGACAATCTCATATCCCAAGAATTCCCTCAGTCAAGCAAACTGGTAGGTTGGGTACCTAGGAGGGTAAAATGTTGCTCACAGGATATAATTTATTGTTGACTTTGCTTGATAATTCCAAACTGTCTTCCAAGTGGTTGTACAATTTTCAGTGCTAAGGACAGTATATGGGAGTTCTAATTGTTCCACATCCTAACCAGCATGTGGTAAGGTCAGTCTTTTTAAAAATTTTAGCCATCCAAGTGGGTAAGTAGTGGTATCTCACTGTGGTTTTATGTTTCCCTACCTACTAATGACAGTGCGTATATTCTCATGTATTTACAGTCCATTTGAATAATCTCTTGTATAAATAGCTTTATAATACTCTTGCCTATTTTGTACTGGACTATCTCTTTCTCATAATTTGTTGAAATTCTTTATATATTCTGAATATGGATCATTAGGAAGTTTATATGTTTTGCAAATATCTTATTCCACCGTGCAGCTTGCTTTTTCATGCTTTAATAATATCTTTGGATAATTAGAAGTTCTTAATTTTAATGTAGTCAAATTTAATCACAATTTTATTTCATTGTAAACATTTTTTGTATCTTGTTTAAAAAGTCTTTCCAGCCTAGGCAACATAGCGAGACCTCATCTCTACAAAGAATAACATTAGCCAGGCATGGTGGTGTGTGTTTGTAGATCCAGGGTGAGGAAGGAGGATGGTTTGAGCCCAGTAGTTTGAGGCTGCAGTGTACCATGACTATGCCACTGCACTCCAGCCTGGGCAACAGAGTGAGACCCCTCCCCAAAAATAAATAAAACAAAACATCCTTCCCTATCTAGTATTCATAAAGATATTACCTATATTATTTTCTAGAAGTGTTACTGTTTTGCCTTTCATATTTAATCAACAATTTATCTGAAATTTGGTTCTAGGATGAGGCAGGGGTTAGGTTTTATTTTTTGTGTCCACGTGGACAACCAATGACCACCCTTTCTCCAGTGCTCCGCAGTATTCTCTGTGATGCCTCCAGGGACCAATTATGCCTGGGTCCGCTCTGGACATTCCCTCCTGTTTCATTCATCTAATTTTCATCTGTTTTCCTTCCTTCCTTCCTTCCTTCCTTCCTTCCTTCCTTCCTTCCTTCCTTCCTTCTTTTGTGAGTTGGAGTCTCACTCTGTCACTCAGACTGGAGTGCAGTGGCCGCTCCCAGTCACTGCAGCCTCACCTGCTGGGCTCCGTCGATCCTTCCATCTCAGCCTTCCAAATAGCTGAAACTACAGGTGCGCGCTACCATGCCCGGCTAATTTTTTTATTTATTGTAGAGATGAGGTCTCGCCAAGTTGCCCAGGCGGGTCTCGAACCCGCGGGCTCAGGCAATACGCTCACCTCAGCCTCCCAAAGCGCTGGGATTACAGGCTGAGCCACCGAGCCTGGCCTCATCTGTTTTTCTACTTACTATTTCTATCTATCTATATTTCAGCAATATTTCCATTATTCACTTATCTATTTTTAAATCTTGTCTTGGCTACTGTGCATTGTAATAAATCTTTTTTTTAAATAGAGAAATAGGGTCTCAATCAGTCCCCCAGGCTGGAGTGCAGTGGTGTGATCACAGTTCACAGTAACCTCGAACTCCTGGGCTCAAGTGATCCTCCCACCCCAGCCTCCCAAGTAGCGGGCACCACCATGCCTAGCTAATGTAATAAATCTTGATAGGGCAAGTCTTATCACTATGTCCTTTTACAAGAGTAAATTTTCTTGGCCTTTTGATTCTTACAGACATTGTTAATATCACACATGAGTGCCGAGACAACACTCTATATTCTCTTCCTGCAATGGCCATCCCCTCAGCTCTTCTTGACAAAGTCCCACTTATTGTTTAAAACTTGGTCCAGCCGGGCTCAGTGGCTCAGCCTGTAATCCCGCGCCTTTAGGAGGCTAAGGTGAGTGGATTGTCTGAGCCCACGGGTTCGGGACCCACCTGGGCAGGTGAGACCTCATCTCTACAATAAATCAAAAAAATTAGCCGGGCATGGTAGCGTGCACCTGTAGTTCCAGCTACTTGGAAGGCTAGGCGGAAGGATCACCAGAGCCCAGCAGGTCGAGGCTGCAGTGGCCGGGAGCGGCCACTGCACTCCAGTCTGGGCGACAGTGAGACTCCAACTCAAAACAAAAACAAAAACAAAAACTTGGTCCAAATGTCCTTTCCACTAAAAAGCCCTTGCCTACTCCCTTGGCAGAGGCAGTCATTTCTTCCTCTGCATTTTTGTAGCTGCAGATGTTCCCATTGCTATCCTTACTACATCCCACTGTGGGGCATCCTCTTTCTCCTTTGGTAGACCACCATCTTCCACAGTGCGAGAGATGTGTTCTACTCATCTTGGAGCTTTGTGCATTATGGGCACTTAGCAAATACAAGGAATGAATAAGCATAGAAATGTAGGAATGAATGAACTCAACTTAGCACTCAGAAAAGGTATCTTTCTTTTCTGACCTTCAAATTCTGTCAGTTGATTGTATCCTGTAACATTTACTTTTTTGTTTTGTTTTTGTTTTAAGGTCCCAGAGCTTCTGAGTTTTTAAAAACTTTCCTCTTCAGAACTATGTTTGTAATTTAGATATTGCTGCTAATAAACAGAAAGATGGGAAATGTGGAGAAAGGGAAAAAAGGAAAAAATAGAGGAATCAACGGCAAAAAGAAAGAATATTAGTTGAATCATACATACCTGTAATAGGTTTAGGTGATTTGATTTTCATGATTTGAACTGGAAGACTCAACTTGATGTCTCCTTTAAAACAAACATTTGTATCCTAAAATAAGGAAAAGGCATAGTTAGTAATTCATCAAAGAAGATGAAATGGAATCATTAAAGATACTCATTCTAAAAGAAGCCAAAAAAAGAGGGAAAGGGAAGAAAAACAGATGGTATGAACAGAAAGTAATAGCAAGGGGTGGTAGATTTAAACCCAAACATATTTATAATCACATTAAATGCATACAGTCTAAACACTCCAACTAAAAGAGCCTAGGCGTGATAGCTCATGCCTGTAATCACAGCAATTTAGTAGGCTGAGGCAAGAGGATTGCTTGAGCTCAGGAATTTGAGACCAACCTAGGTAACATAGCAAGACCTTGTCTCTACAAAAAATAAAAAAAATAGCCAGGCATGGTGGCATGCACCTGTAATCCCAACTATCCCGGAATTTGGGCCAGAAGAATGACCTGAATCCAGGAGGTTGAGGCATGCCACTACACTCCAGCCTGGGTAACAGAGTAAAACCCTGACTCAAAAAAAAAAAAAAAAAATTAAATTAAAAAATAAATAAATCGGTGGCTCAGCCTGTAATTCCGTGCCTTTGGGAGGCTAAGGTGAGTGGATTGCCTGACCCTGCGGGTTCGAGACCTGCCTGGGCAGCAAGACCTTATCTCTACAATAAATAAAAAAATCAGCCGGGCGTGGTAGCACATGCCTGTAATTCCAGCTACTTGGAAGGCTGAGGCGGAAGGATTGCCGGAGCCCAGCAGGTCGAGGCTGCGGTGGTCGGGAGCGGCCACTGCATTCTAGTCTGGGCGACAGAGTGAGACTCCAACTCAAAAAAAAATAATAATAATAAAATAAAATAAAAAACAAATAAATAAATGGTAGAGACTGTCGAATCATATAAAAAGGCAAATATATGCTGTCAAAAAAACCCTCATAGGCCAGGCGCAGTGGCTCACTATAATCCCTGCACTTTGGGAGGCTGAGGTGAGAGGATTGCCTGAGCCCACAGGTTCGAGACCAGCTTAGGCAGCTTGGTGAGACCTCATCTCTACAATAAATCAAGAAAAATTAGCCGGGCGTGATGGCGCATGCCTGTAGATCTGGCTGCTTAGAAGGCTGAGGTGGAAGGATCACCTGAGCCCAGCAGGTCAAGGCTGCAGTGGCCGTAAGTGTGCCATTGCACTACAGCCTGGGTGACAGAGTGAGACTCTGACTCAAAAGAAAAAAAATAAATTCATTTTATCACCCACCATCTGAAGTCATAGGTGAAAAAAAAACCTCATTTAAAATGACACAAAATACATTAAGCGTAAAATTATAGAAAAAGATACATCTTATTAAAACTAATCAAAAGAAAATTGGGGTGGCCATATTAATATCTGACACAGAATATTTCAGAACAAAGAATATTACCAGGAATCAAAGGGTCAGTGAATAATAATAAAATGGTCAATTTATCAGAAGACATAACATTCCAAATTATTATAATAGAGCATCAAAGCATACAAAGCAAAAATTCATACCAATAAAAGAAATAGATAAATCTACAATCTTAGAGACTCCTTTTTCAATAACCAATAGAATAGGCAGACACAAAATCAGTAAGAATATAGTAAGGATATAGAAGGAAAAGCAGTCAGGATATTGAAGACTTGAATAACTTGATCAAAACAGCAGAATATACATTTGTTTCAAGTGCACATAGAGCACTTACCAAAATAAATCATATTCTTGGCATAAAACAAGTCATCATAAAATTAAAAGCATTCAAATAAAGTATGTTCTCTGATCGCAATGGAATTAATGTAGAAACTGATAAAAGAAAGACTGGCCAGGTGTAGTGGCTCATGCCTGTAATTCCAGAACTTTGGGAGGCCAAGGCAGGAGAACTGCTTGAACCCAGCAGTTTGAGACCACTCTAGGCAACATAGCCAGACCCTGTCTCTTCAAAAAATATAAAAAATTAGCCAGGCATGGTGGTATGCACCTGTAGCCCTAGCTACTTAGGAAGCTGAGGTGGAAGGAACATCTAAGCCCAGGAGGTCAAGGCTGCAGTGAGCCATGCCACTGCACTCCAACCTGAGCAACAGAGTGAGACCCCCATTCAAATAAATAAAGCACTGGGATTACAAGCATGAAACCATCATGCTCAGCCTTTCAACTTCTTCTATGATTATTAATCCATCATTTTTTTAAAATGCTGAGCCAATTTTAGTCATAATTTAATTTAGACATTCTAATTTATTAGGCTATGTGTTTATGTAAACATGTTTCTCTTACAATATAAAAATTAAAACATCATCTCTGTCTAAGTTCATCCCCTTGGCAGGGCATGGTAGCTCAAGCCTGTAATCCCAGCACTTTGGGAGGCCAAGGCAGGAGGATTGCTTGAGGCCAGGGGTTCGAGACCAGCCTGGGCAACATAGTAAGACCTCATCTCTACAAAAAATTTTTAAAAAATTAACCAGGTGTGGTGTGTGCCTGTAGTCCAGCTACTCAGGGGGCTGAGGCAGGAGGATCACCTGAGCCTGGGGTAGTAATATCTGGTTACAGCATTGTCACTGCCTATTCTCCCTTGCTTCCTATCAATTTTCTGAAATTTGATGTCTTTCTAATTTTTTTCACTGAAACTAAAGACCTGATGAATACTGATACAACCATTGACCAGCAATAACTAGTTGAAACATATAGATGGAAGAATGAGCACGTTTTTAATTCCCTTCCCTCCTGAGACCCCATCAACATGACAGTAAAGATTTTTAAGACAAAAATTCATGAGAATTAAGAGAATAAAAGAGGACACAAAAGTAACAACATTTTAAAGCTGAAAAGCAGATGGCTAAATGATTTTGCAGACGCAAGAAAGATTCTAATCCAGTGGAGTGAAAGACTACTAGTCACCTATTCATCCCACAAACCCTCAAAGACTTAGGAAAATGACAGATCAGGTATCTCTGGAAGTTGAAGTGCTTGTGGGGCTAGCAACAGGAGAATTGGTTGAAAAATCTCTTTGCAAAGTCTGAGTCTAAACTCAGACTCCTTCCCTAACTCCACGCAGCCAATCGGATAAAGGTAAAGTTTACATACTGAATGATGGGAAAGCCCATCAGTCAAAAGCAAAATACTCCAGGACATTGACACAAGGGTTTCCCAGTAAAACATCCCAGTGAAGGCACCTTATAGTACAACCAAAGGCAACAAGCCTCACCTATGCACACTCCATTCACAAAAGAATTATGAATTAAAGAATAAAATGTCAAAAAAACAAAACTATGAAAGTATTAGAGGAAAATACCAGATTTATTTATAACCTTGAGGTAAGGAAGACTTTCTTTCTTTCTTTCTTTTGAGAAAGCAGGATTTATTGAGAGGACAGAAAAACTCCCACAGTGGGAGGGGACCGGAAGGGAATGCCCAAGGAAGGCTTTCTTAAGTGCAATGGCTGTAAAGAAAAGATAGAAAAATTTGACAATATCAAAACTTAAGACTTCTTTACATCAAAAACATATAAACAAAGTAAAAAAGGAAATAACAGATTGGAAGAAAATATATAATGGGCAAAGGATACATACAGGCAATTCATAAACAGAAAACCTCAATGTCCAATAAAAATATGAAGGGAACAATGAAATCTGCAATGACATGCTGTTTTTTCCCACCAGTTTGCAAAAAATAATAATATTTATTGGTACTATCGAGATCCATGAAGCTGCAGGGAAATGTTGATTAAATGCAAAATGTTACACTATTTTTGTTGGACAATTTAGCAGCGTTTGTACTAAAACTAAAAATGCACATACCCTTGAGGGGCACTCAGGTTTACAAAGAAGAATATTACAAAGGTTTTAATTGTGTTGTATAAAAGCCCCAAACTGGGAGCAAGTTCAATATCGTCAATAGACCAGTAGCCATATAAACCATGGTACATCTATAATGTAGACTATAACACAGTAAGCCAAAAGAACAAGGCAGGCTTCTTTGACATAGAAAAACCGTGCCAACAAATTGACGAGTAAAAAAATGCTAGTTTGTAAGAAAATACATATAGTATGATGCCACTTATGGAGAAAAAAATTCCAGTGGAGCAAAACTATATTTTTCAAAATAAACAAATATAAAAATATAAATATACAACAAAAGAATTAGAAAACACATACCATACAAATAATGGTGATTACCTCTGGAGAGGGGTGTTTATCTGAATTTCTTGACCTTTCTAAGAATGATATATTCATGTGTTATTTTTATAATTCGAAACACAATGCAATTTAAAAATGGAAAAAGGGTGCTCTAAGGAGAGACTTCCATTTCACAAGTTCATCATTACTCTATGATATGCCCGAGTCTTCCAAGAGGTAAGCCTCTGGAAAGAATGGTGTGCAACCAGTCCCCAAGAGTGCCAGGGAACTCCAGGGAAGCAGCTCTGTTCTCTATTCCATCACAAAGATACTTGGGCTGTTGTTTTGGCAAGGGCAAATCTGGGTTTCATGGGGCCTCTTTAAGAAAAAGAACACAAAATGCCCATGGCCACTCTAATACTACTCAATATGGGGGAACTTTTGTGACAGAAGAAGTTCGAGTGAAGAGACAAGGGTATTAAGTGACTGTGGTTAAAATATGCTACCTTTGCCAATTTTACAAAAATATAGGACTATAAGAACACATTGATAGGGCCCCTCCCAGAGGCCCGAGTAAGGGACCTAAAATTTAAGTTCCTTTAACTTCACATAAACTCATCTCTGGACAAATGACTTGAGTCAATTATCCTCAAGGACAGGAGGTTATCTTCAGTGGTTATGAGGCACAAGATTAAGTCAGAAAAAGTTGAAAAAATCCCTGATGGAACATTTTCTTTTCTTTTCTTTTTTTTTGAGTTGGAGTCTCACTCCATCTCTCAGGCTGGAGTGGAGTGGCATGCTCACGGCCACCCCAGCTTCGACCTGCTGGGCTCAGGCTATTCTTCTGCCTCAGCCTTCCAAGTAGCTGGAACTACAGGCATGCGCTACCAAGCCTGGCTAATTTTTTGATTTACTGTAGAGATGAGGTCTCGCCAAGTTGCCCAGGCTGTTCTCAAACCAGTGGGCTCAGGCAATCCCCTCACCTTGGCCTCCCAAAGTGCTGGGATTACATGTTTGAGTCACCATGCCTGACCAACATTTTCAATATGGAAATAACATATTCGATATTTAAGGTACATTTCAAGTAAAAATAAAAATCTCTAAAATGTAATTTAAGTCTCTCTAGAGATATTCTTTAAAGTTTCTTACCATATCTAAATGATCTGTAGAAATGGAATCAGGAGTGTTCTGAGGAGAAAAATGATAAATTAAATCACAATAGGTTAGATATAGCTTCCCCCTCCCTCTTCAATCTGAGATGCTCTTTCTCCCCCCAGTTACTCTTGTGAGAAGTAAATTCACGCAGCAGACATGGAGGGCCAGTATTTGTGTGGTCCTCTGGCCTGTAGGACATTAACAATATGATCCCTACTTTTCAGGATCTTAAAAAGCAGTCAGGGAGGTCTTTGCTTGGCTACCATTTGCTTTTGTTAAACTAGTCTGGCCATGCTTCCCTAAGCTTTGGCCCCTTCCTCTACCTTGGGAAGGTGAATCTCCTCTCTCTCTCTAATTTACTTTCTAAATAAACTGTGCTTTTCAATTAAAAAAAAAAGTAGTCAGGGAAATAGGAAATAGTTAATGACAATAAGAGGAAATATAAATGAAGAGAGGTGAGGAAACAGGTTATAACACCATTATAAAAACTGAAGTTGAGCCAGGTATGGTAGCTCATGTCTGTAACCCCAGCACTTTGGGAGGCCGAGAGAGGAGGATTGCTTGAGCCCAGGACTTCGAGACCAGCCTGGGCAACATAGCAAGACCTTGTCTCTACAAAAAAAAAAAAAATTAGCCAAGCATGTGCCTATAGTCTCAGCTACTTTGGAGGCTGAGGTAGAAGGACTGGCAAAGCCCAAGAGGTAGAGGCTGTGGTGAGCCATGACTGTGCCACTGCACTCCAGCCTGGGTGACAGGCTCAAAAAAAAAAAACTAAGTTGAAGTATACTATATTTCTGATTAGCAAAATATATCTATCAATGATGTGGAGAATTATATTTAATTAACTCTAACACAGTTTATAGTAAAAGAACTACCACTGTAACTGGCATTAGTTGGTTGTTTCTCAGTGCAAGGAAAAAGGAGTGCATTATGGTGAGAAACCACCCTCTCTTCAAAGTGCTTAGATAACAAATTACACCATCAAAACACAGACCTTCTGAATACTAAGTATGATGCTATGGGATTGGTTGATGGAAAGCAGAAGGTATGGTCTTAACAATGGAGAAGTTTACCATCTAGTGAGAACAAAACAACTTTCATGCATAACATGATAAATCAAAACCAAGGTAGCATGCGAGATGTTATCAAAAAACTGTAAGAGTTTAGAGGAGGAAGGCCTCTGGCCTGGCAACACTAGCAGGAACATAGGTCTACATCTAACCCTAAGACATTCACCGGGAGAAAGGAATTTTGTTCAAAGCCACTCGGGGAGCTCAGCAGTAAATGGCAGTCTCAGTCTTGGTCTCCTATAGTAATAATTTCACGAGTTCTTTAGCACCCAAAACAATGTGTTTTTTTTGTTTTTGTTTTTTTGTTTTTTTTTGAGTTGGAGTCTCACTCTGTCACCCAGACTGGAGTACAGTGGCATGCTCCTGGCCACCGCATCCTCAACCTGCTGGGCTCTGGCGATCCTTCCACCTCAGCCTTCCAAGTAGCCAGAACTACAGGCATGCGCTACTCCGCCCAGCTGATTTTTTATTTATTGTAGAGACAAGGTCTCGCCAACTTGCCTGGGCGGGTCTTGAACCCGCGGGTTCAGGCAATCCACTCGCCTCGGCCTCCCAAAGTGCTGGGATTACAGGCTGAGCCACAGAGCCCGGTCAACAATGTGTTTTAAAAGGGTGCTCATGGCAACTCTTTTGGGTCCCCTCCCGCTGCTTTTTCAACTATAAATAAATAAATAAATAAATAAAAATAAAAGGGCGCTCAATAAATATTAGTTATTGGTGGTTTAAAAATAATAAGCACACGTTTTATGAATAAGTAAATTAAGTCTTAATCCTGAGCAATTGCATCTTAAAGACATAGCACAAGGCCCAAGCATCACATACCACTAAACTGAACTGGTCGAGTTCCTACCTTGTAAGGCTAATATAAAGAATATGCATATTCCCGTATATTGAGAACAATCCCTTTATACCATAATCTGTCACCTTTAGTAGAATTTGCGGCATGAAAAGATTATTCCAGACAGGAGGGGGAGAAATTGCCTAAGAAACAGGAGTCAGGACAGACGAGACCAGAAGTGCCTGGGAGTGGTCTCGGTAGAGTGGCAACTCCCAGACACCAGAGACACTGAGATTCCCACTATGGAAGACACCTTTACTTTTTAATATCTTTTTTTTTTTTTTTTTGAGTTGGAGTCTCACTCTGTCGTCCAGACTGGAGTGCAGTGGCCGCTCCTGGCCACTGCAGCCTCGCCTGCTGGGCTCCGGCGATCCTTCCGCTTCAGCCTTCCGAGTAGCCGGAATTACAGGCATGCGCTACCACGCCCGGCTGATTTTTTGATTTATTGTAGAGATGAGGTCTCGCTGCCCAGGCAGGTCTCGAACCCACGGGCTCAGGCAATTCACTCACCTCAGCCTCCCAAAGGCGTGGGATTACAGGCTGAGCCACCGAGCCCAGCTTACTTTTTAATATCTTAATGTAGCCACAGCAAATCAATCTGGAAGACACGGGCCAATGTTCCTGTTGTTCTCTCTTACAGCCCAGAGGCCTCCTCAGTCTTGAAATTCCAAGGACGATTTAAGCTAGATGTGGGTCAAGGGTAGGGAGAAACATCAGCTGAAAGCGAAGAGGTTTCCTACCAGTTGCGGCTGTTTGCCCTTTTTCTTTGGATTTAAAGTGAGTTGGGGGTGCTCCATTTCCCTGAGCCAAGACTCCTTGGGCAATTTATACACATCCAGCCAAACATCTCCAGCTCCTGCATTGGGAAACCAAAGAACCATTGAGCAACTGCAAGCAGGCCACAGGTTTCCTCAGAAACGGCCTGTCTTCTCAGAACCGCTGGCACGGAAACCAGCCACCTCTGTAGCAGCCACCCAGGGAATAACTTGCACAAGTGCAGAAGACATAGTTCTGCAATGGTGATTGCAAGTCCTCACTCCCCATATGACTTTCCCATGAAGCGTTATCTCCTCCAGCTGCTGCCAGTTAGCTAAGGGAAACAGGCTTCTCACACTGATGGGACTAATGCAACAGTTTTTAACCAGTCTGCTTTGCCCAGTCTCCATGTTTTCTGTAACAAATGGTAAATTCCACTGACATTTTGCCTTTAGTTATGTCTATCTGGGGAGTAAGGTGGCATATATAGAATTAGTAGCTGAGAGGATTATGGCTAAGGAAGGGTTAGAAGTGAGAAGGATGCCCCCAAAGAATTTTTCTGACTGATATTTGAAGAGAAGACAACCTCTGGGGTGGTTGGGGGACTTTGTTTTGTCACAGAAATATGTTCAGCTTCTGTACCAGATACCTGCTAACCTGGGAAAGGTTGTTCTCTGATGGAATGGGATCCTGGCTTAATGTGTCCTTAAAAAAGTAATCATCCTAGTCAAGTGCAGTGGCTCACACCTGTACTACCACAGAACTTTGGGAGGTGGAGGTGAGATGATTGCCTGAGTCCAGGGGTTCAAGACCAGCCTGGGTAACTTGGTGAGACCTCGTCTCTACAATAAATTAAAAAATTACCTGGGCATGGTGGCATGCACCTGCGATTCCAGCTACTTGGAAGGCTAAGGTGGAAGGAACACTTGAGCCCAGCAGATCGAGGTTGTGGTGGCTGTGAGCATGCCACTGCACTCTAGCCTGGGTAACAGAGTGAGACTCCTACTCAAAAAATAAAAGTAATCATCTGGACCCCTTAATTGCAGACTTTTGACCTCCAGAACTGTGAGAGAATAAATAAAATATCTATTGTGAAGGCATCCAGTTTGTGGTACTTTGTTATGGCAGCCTTAGGAAACTAAAAGAAATGGCGCAAAAGTGTCCTTAAATACAGAAAGCATTATAAAAGATTCATCTTCCTCAAGAACCTAATATTTGGGGGACCTTGGACAAAGCTATTAAATAGAAGCCCATGTACCATATATCTACATGTGCCAAAGTTTAAAATCAAGATAACAAACATTTGGATAAAGTATGTTCTATTACCACAGTGATAACAGGCAAGATCCAACGATGAGTGCTAAGATTGGTGGGTAAAACTTGAAGGAGAAACAGGACATTTGCATTGTCTCAAAGTGTCTCCTCCAAAATGTTTATTAATTACTGTGGTGGTTTTAACATATGTCCAAAAATTCTTTGATTCTCCTAACTCCAGGAGGTGATACTTAAATCATCTCCCCTTAGCCGAGCTTGGTGGTTCAGCCTATAATCCCATGCCTTGGGAGGCTGAGGTGAGTGGATTGCCTGAGCCCATGGGTTCGAGACCCGCCTGGGCAGCGAGACCTCATCAAAAAACCAGCTGGGGGTGGTAGCGCATGCCTGTAATTCCAGCTACTTGGAAGGCTGAGGCGGAAGGATCGCCGGAGCCTAGCAGGCCGAGGCTGCGGTGGCCGGGAGCGGCTACTGCACTCCAGTCTGGGCGACAGAGTGAGACTCCAACTCAAAAATAAATAAATAAATAAATAAATAATCTCCTCTTGAGTGTGGTCTGGACTTAATGACTTGTTCCTTACAGAGTATGGGAAGGGGAAAACAGTAGCTCTAAGTAGACAAACCTGGCAGACACCACTGTAAGTGATCAAGGTATATCAGCAGTGGTGAGTCACGTTGCTGTCACGTACCCCTTAATATAACACAATGAGAAGAACACTTTGCCTCTGTGAAGTGCCTGTTGTCACTATTTTTTTTTTTGAGTTGGAGTCTCTGTCGCCCAGGCTGGAGTGCAGTAGCACACTCACAGCCACTCCAGCGTCTACCTGCTGGGCTCTGGCAATCCTTCCACCTCAGCCTTCCAGGTAGCCAGAATTACAGGCACGTGCTACCGTGCCTGGCTAATTTTTTATTTACTATAGAGATGAGATCTCGCCAGGTTATCCAGGCTGGTCTTGAACCCATGCAGGCAATCCATTCACCTCAGTCTCCCAAAGTGCTGGGATTACAGGCTGAGCCACCGAGCCCAGCTGGTAACAGAATATATTTTATTCACATTTGTTATCTTATTCCCCACCCTCCCCAAATCATCCTTAACCTTAAGAGGGACATTCTACAGAATATCTGACTGGCACTCTTTAAAAGTGTTAAGGCCATGAAAAACAAGGAAAAACCAAGAAACTGTCACAGATAATAAATTAAGGAGACACAATGACTAAATACAAAATACAATAGGGTACCCTGGATTGAACCTTGGAGAAAAAAAAATTAGTGAAGAAACGACTGAAATCTGAAAAATAAATCTGTTATTTTGACAAATATAGTATGGTCATGTTGAATCCTATTGGGAAGCTGAGTGAAGGCATAGGGTAACTCTCTGAACTATCTTTGCAACTTCTCTGTAATTCAAAAATAACTTCTAAATAAAAGCTTTGTAGGGAAAAGAGTAATCATCTGGAAGAGACTGACAATCTGAAGCTTTTCCCGTTCTCTGGTTCATCTTGCCTTGCAGGAGGAAGGCTGCAAAGTTCCCTCCCTGAGAGATCTTCATCTTTACACAGGTGGTTTGCTTGCTGGCATCATCCTGAAAAAGAAAAGAGATGCTGGCAGAGTAAGCTTAGCCTGTGACAGTGGTATCTTCCAGGGCCTTCTGTGATTCACCCCAGGAACAGAGATCTTTGTAAGGTGTGAGACATGACAAGAGGTCTCACACTGCTTCATAGTTTCCATTTTTGTACAGGAATTTTGTATGTAAAGACACGGAATTTGCTTTTCTGTCTAAACACTTTTGGACTTATTTCCTGGTTTCTTAAATACTTCTGGTGATGTGTGGCATACCGCTGGATCTCCTGGTAAAACCTGCTCGGATAATGGGCAAGGTGAGAGAGACTCAATGGGAATAGTTGTGCTTACCTTTAGAGTTTGATGATGCAGGGCACAGTGGCTCATGCCTGTAATCCCAGCAGTTTGGAAGGCAGAGGCAAAAGGATTGCCTGAGCCCAAGGGTTTGAGACCAGCCTGGGCAACTTACTGAGACCTCATCTCTACAATAAATAAAAAAATTAGCCAGTTGTGGTGGTGCATGCCTGCAGTTCCAACTACTTGGAAGGCTGAGGCAGAAGGATTGCCTGAACCCAACAGGCTGATGCTGCAGTGGCTGTAGGCGTGCCACTGCACTCCAGCCTGGGAGGCAAAGTGTGACTCAAACTTTAAAAAAAAAAAAAAAAAAAAAAGAGCTTGATGACTACTAGCAACATAAGATGGGGTTAGAGCAGTTAGGCTGGTAAGCTCCCTAATTTATTTTATGAGAACTAGTTTAAAATTTTAAAAATTTATTTTTTTGAATATCAATTTATTGTTATGGAAATTTTAAAAAATACATAGAAAGAAAATAGAAAAAAATCCCTATGTATGCATTACTCAACTTCAATAATTATCAATAAATGACAAGCCTTGTTTTATTTATTACCTCCTAAACTCATTAACATTTTTATTTAATTAAGCTTAAAAGATTAACAATAATGTTTTTAATTTTTATTTTTGTGAGTTAGGGTCTCACTCTGTCACCCAAGCAGTGCAGTGGTATGATCATGGTTTACTGTAGCATTGACCTCTTGGGCTCAGGTGATTCTTCCACCTCAGCCTCCTGAGTAGCTAGAACCACAGGTATGTACCATCACACCTGGTTAATTTTAAAATTTTTTTTGTAGAAACAAGGTCTTTCTATGTTGCTTAGGTTGTTTTTTTCGTTTGTTTGTGTTTTTTTTTTTTGAGTTGGAGTCTCACTCCGTCACCCAGACTGGAGTGCAGTGGCTGCTCGACCTGCTGGGCTCCGGTGATCCTTCCAAGTAGGCTGGTCTTGAACTCCTGAGTTCAAGCAATCCTCTCACCTCTGCCTCCCCAAATGCTGAAATTAACAGGTGCGAGCTACTGTACTTGGCAATGAACAATAATTCTTAAATATCATCCAGTCTGATTTTGAATTACCTTGTCTCATAAATGTCATATCTTTTCACAATTGGTTTGTTCAAATCAGGATCCAAATGATTTATCTCTTAAGTCTCTGAATTTAAAATAGTTCCCCCATTTGTTTTTCTGCCTGCCACTTACTTGTTGAAGAAACCAGGTCATTTATCCTATGGAATTTTCACATTCTGGATTGCATCTCTATGGTTCCTGTGTCTTCTGTAAACAGGTACCCAGATCTAGAGTTTTGATTAGATTTAGGTTTGTTTCAGCAAGAGTACTCCACAAGTACACTGTGTCCCTTCTACTGGATCACACCAGGAGGTATATCAGCTGGTTGGCTCTCTTTTTGTAATGTTAAGGTTGTTCACTGAGAACAGGTGGTGTCACCGTGCCTCATCAATTATAAAGTTCCCCATCAGCCATTGGTGGTTACTACCTAGACCATTACTCATTAAAATGGCTACAAAATCAAGATAGTTCAATTCTATCATTCTTTCTGCATTTGTTATAATTCTTCTACAAAAAAAATTTCATCCTCAATTATTTGATTCCCTTGAAATACAGCCCATATGAGAAAGAATAAAAGATTGATTATTTCTCTTGTCAGCTTTCAGAATACTAAGTTTGTGCCCTAGCAACTTCTAAAGGTGACAATAAAGTATTTTAAATTATTATGAATTCATGTATTTTAAACATTTTTAGTGTGTTTTAATCTACCAACAGTACTCTCTTTTTTTTTTTTGGTTATGTTCCTGTCTAGTCTGTGTATCCCTCCCTGTTATGGTGGTCTTATAAAATGAGTTGAGGAATATTTCCTATATTTCTTTAGGGAGTTTTTAAAAAGATAAAATTTAAGTACAGGTAAAGGCACAGGTATTCAATGAGTTTTGACAAATCTATTCATCCATGTAACTAGCATCCAGTCAAGATATAGGACACTGCCATTATCCTAGAAAGTCCCCTTATGCCTAGGTCAATTACATCTCTATATGCAACCAATGTTCTGCTCTCCATCACAACATAGTTTTGCCCATTCTCAAATTTCTTATCATTGGAATGTACTCTTTTTGTTTCTGGCTTCTTTTACTCAACTTGATGTTTCTAAGCTTCATCCCTTGTGTTATGATCATCAATTCATTATGCTTTATTGCCAAATAGTGTACCACTGAATAATTATACCACAAATTTTATTTGTTATGATTGTACCCAGGTTTTTTTTTTTTTTTGAGTTGGAGTCTCACTTTGTCGCCCAGACTGGAGTGCAGTGGCACACTCCCGGCCATCGCAGGCTTGACCTGCTGGGCTCCAGTGATCCTTCCGCCTCAGCCTTCCAAGTAGCTGAAACTACAGACACGTGCTCCCACGCCCGGCTAATTTTTTTATTTATTGTAGAGATGAGGTCTCGCCAAGTTGCCCAGGCGGGTCTCGAACCTGTGGGCTCAGGCAATCCACTCACCTTGGCTTCCCAAGGCGCGGGATTATAGGCTGAGCCACGGAGCCCGGCTTATAACTGTTTTTCAAAGTGGTTGTACTATTTTACAGCCTCACCAGCAATGTCTGAAAGTTCTTATTGCTCTGCATTCTCACCAGTATTTGGTATGACCACTCTTTAATTTTCAGCATTATAATAGATGTGTAGTGGCATCTCATTGTGATTTTAATTTATATTCCTCTGTTAACTAAGTACTTAGTAAGTACTTTAAAAATTGGTAGCCGGGCTCGGTGGCTCAGCCTGTAATCCCACGCCTTTGGGAGGCTGAGGTGAGTGAATTGCCTGAG